ACCTGACCCAACAGCTCCCTCTGCCCCCTCCTCTGTCACCTCCAGGTAAGCCTTCTGCACGGCCTTCCCAATGAAGAGGTCCTTACCATCTGTTACACACGCACGCACGCACGCACACACACACACGCACACACACGCACGCACACACACACACACACACACACACACACATAAAAGAACACAAATTATCACCCTGTCTTTACAATAGGGATCAGTCAGTCTGAGATGAGAAGATGGTGTGATGTGGAGTTTAATCTTAGAATGACACTCTTTTAGTCTGTGCAGAAGCAAACCTTTCAAGCTTAGGGTACAGATTGTTCTCACTGTTCAATACAATCACATAAGAAACCAGAGTACAAGGTCCCATCATGCAGGAAAATCCTGATGATTTGATGGAAGCATATAAAAACACTGTATCTTGCCTATCTGCCAGAGTAAGGCACGTCGTGTGGAGTTAAGGATCCTAGAACAATATGTGCTTTACAACTAAAAGCCCCGTACTTCCTGCAGATTCACAATATAACAGTTCCAACTGACCAGTCAGAAGAAGCTGTTTCGGACCGGGTCATGAATTGGGTTTGACAAGGTTTGTTAAGATATTTATTTTGGTTGGATTTACAGTTATTATGGAGGGAGCATTTTAGCTACTCATAAACTGAATCACCACTCTTTTTTTTCTTTGATGCATATTATCATAACTTATTCATGTCTCAGTCTTTCTAACTCTGCTGTATCTCTCTATCCGTCTCTTTCTGGATCTATTTTTGCCTGATGATGTGACAGCTCTGACCTGCCCACTCTGTGCCAGTTACCTTGGTTACCTTAGAAAAGTACTGGAGGCTACTTCACTGCAGCTAAGGAGCAGAAATACTAAATCAAATTCTCATGTTAAAGTGTTCTGTTACCATTTGGGTCTTATCCGTTTCTTTTTTGTTTTGTTTTTTATTTTGGCTGTGGTGGGTTCCAACACAGCTGAAAGTTACCTGTCATAGCAGACAGATCAGCATCATTGGTGAAGATGTTCTTTATTCCAAGTTCCTTCAGGATGCTCCTCAGGTCAATCTTCTGCTCCACTTTGAACCTGTCAATATCGATCACATATTTTATAGTAAGTCATTAAAAAACAGTTGTCCGTATTGTTATGGCTGTATGTTTCCCTGTACTGTTCGTCCCTTTTCCCTTTCTGTTCTCCAGCCCAGGTGAAGCAACTAATTGCACAACGAGGCACACCTGGCCTCAGAGCTTAAAGGCCCAGTGCTGGCTGCAGGAAAAGAGGCATTTGGAGTTGGACTACTGTGCTGCTCAGGCAGGGATTGTTTGTTGTGTTTTGTTTTGTTTCTAAGTTGATCTTTGTTATCATTTAGTTTGTCATGTTAATAATAAATCCATTGTATTTGACTTGTTAAGGTGTTTTAAGTATTTTAATAGGTCAATTTGTGGATTGTTGTTAGCCCTTGGGTTAGCCCACTTATGGTGGGGTGCAACAGTATGACAGTTACTGAGAGACATGCTTCTCAAACACATACACTACCAGGACCTGTGGACATGCATTAGTGGAGAATTGGAGTGGGGCTGCTACACAGGGAGCACACCAGAGCTGTTGGGGGTTCAGTGTCTTGCTAAAGGGCACCTCTCCAGCAACCAGACCAACTCTAAAACAACTGGAACTTGAACCATCGACCCTCTGGTTCCCAACCCAAGTCCCTACAGACTGAGCTACGACTGTCCCTTAAGTCAAATATTTTTAGATGACTTGTGAGAAGTGGGCTGCAACATAAAACTACCCAATTGTGTATCTTATTGTGACTTTTGGAGATATTGCAGAAGCTAAAATCTATCAAACATCAACCCAATGATATGCTCTCCTTATTTTAAAAGAACATTTGACCATTCAACATTTAAGTGGCCTTGACCGTGTGGTTTTTGGCATTTATTTAGGATTTCTAAGATTAAGATTTTACTTTTATTGATCCCTGCAAGGGGAAATTTCAGTTTTTACACTCTGTAAGTCATGAACACACACATGCAGAAACAGGACCCTATGGACATACACTAATGGACAGAAGCCAGAGTGACAGAGCGGCCCACAGTAGGCACTCCTGAGCGGTGGTGGGTTTGGTCCTTGCTCAAGGGCACCTTGGCAGTGCTCAGGAAGTGATCTGGCACCTCTCCAGCTACCAGACCAACTTCCATATTTGGTCTGCACCAGGACTTGAACTGGCGACCCTCTGGTTCCCAACCCAAGTCCCTACAGACTGAGCTACTGCCGCCCAGACACTAAATGCAGGCTACATTATTTATTCTTGCAGCTGCAATGTTTGTGCCCTTAGAATTAAAAATCAGTTTTATGGAGAGCAATTTATCACTTACAGAAATAAACAAATCCTACAGGGAGTTCCAATTATAGAGGATGCAATTTAAAAATAGGAAAAATGCATCAGTGTTGTTAGAGCTCTTTCCACTAAATGAAAATACAACTTACACAGGGGACATTCTCTGTGTGCTTTGGATTCTGGGAAATATAAGCATTAACCAGAAATCCAAGATGTTGAGCTAATTAAGTTTGTATCTAGTAGCAAAGGCATGTTGGGGGTAAACTGGGAATACAGAACAACTTCTGGAGCAAAGTGTCTCCAAGTATACGAGAATGAATTTGTCAGTGTATGTGTGAGTCGTCACTCACCTAGGTAGGTAGACCTCCACCTTCTGCCGTTTGACATTGTTAGCCCATTCCTCCAGCAGCGCTGCCTTGATGATGGGCTCCAGGATGCCAGTGGTACCTCCTGCCGGGGCAGAACGATCATCATGGACATGTCCTCTCCCTCATACGGCATCTCCAACACCTGGTACACGCCGCCTGCTTCCTGTGAGCCATCGCTGAACTCACCTGACCAGGAGGACACAGAGATGTAGGCATTAAAGGTATGCAAACACATGAATTGGTGCCTGCAGTAATGTTTTTTTTTTTTTGAGGATTAACCTACCCAATTGTAAGATATTTAAGCAGATAGATTGAATGTATTGATTACAAGGTGTGTGGTCCTTTTACTGATGTACTCATTAAAATCCACTGGTGCTTCACTTAAATGGCTTTAGTCACACTTGCTGTGTAAAAGGTATTACATGCGTACTGTTTTTATTCCTGTAGTGCTGAAAAGGCTCTGCTGAGATCTCAACAAAAAAAACAATTTCAATTTAGCAGGAAAGGATTGCGTGTCAGGAGTGTGTTTGCACACGACTGTTTTCAGGAAGGAAATAAATCCCAGTAGGGAGAGAAGAAAAGGGAGAAAGAGCTAATATCTTCTTAGAGTTACTCGAACAGGGGCTTAGAAGTGATATGTTGTAGCCTTGAGGTGGAGCTGCAAAAGACTTGCTCTCTCTACTGTGAGTAATTAAAAAAAAAGGATAAGATAATAATTCTTCACAAGACAAGCCAACAACGGTTCACTTGAATTAAGTGATGCAGAATACCGTAATCCTTTTATACACAAAACAAGTCCAACTAGATTTCAAATCTACATGTAAGATTACTTTACGGACTTTCTTTCCCTGAGACATGTTGATTATGGAGCAATTAACAACGCCCAATCTTACGCACATGGTTTTTCGTTTGATGCTGCTTAAAAGGGAAAATTAGACGAATAAGACTTTTCATCCCTCATTAACTTATACAGTATGTAACATTCTGTGTAGTGACAACTGGTGCAGAGTGAGGAAACATTGCAAAGAGAGAGAGGTGGGCAGGGCTCCACTGAACATTTTAATTTAACCAATATGATTGTGTTTCAAAAAGAGAAAGCAAATGCAGCCTTCCCTCCAGGGACCTGTCCCTGTTCTGCATTCTTAAGAACACACAAACACTCATTATGCTCATTACACACACAGCAGATCACACATTCACAGATTCCCTTGATCCTGAGTGTGTGAGGATGAGTCTGTGTGCACCATGAGAACGTAGGTGTATGAAATTGTGCCATCTCACTACAAACACTAAGACTGCACCAAAATAACCCAATGCGTCAATTTTAGCAGCAGTGCAGTTAGAATCTGTTTTTTTTCTATCTTTGGCAGTTCGTCAAATGACGAGAAAAAAGACAGACTGGAATCACTGAGATGTAACAGCATTATTAAAACAGCCTTGAGGACTAGGTAAACACAGGCTAGCACCTCACGATGATCTGTACCTGATACACAGATATATGATACAGAAAGTGCAAACATCTCAAAAAGCCACAGTACAGATATTTTCATAAAAAAAGCCTTAAATTTAAAGGGAAAATAAAACTTCATGATGACTTTCCCGACATGAAAACAAGACTGTAACATGATGCCTTTTACACATCTACATAATACAGCCTAAAAATAAATAAATCAGTTAGGTGGAAAAAAAAATGCAAAAACCCCCTAAACAATTAATGTTAAATAATATTGAAGCAAATTTAGACCCTTGTTATATCATTTCGTTTTTGTTTTTATAAGCCAAAAATGCTAACTTCACAGAGTTTTAAATATGAGGATGTACGGCAAGCAGATGCTGCATGGGTGTTGAAAAATGTTTTGAAAATGTTTGGAAAGAATTAGTCCCTCTGGCGCTCTTCAGTGCGGGGATCCAACTTAGAAGCTATTGAAGAGGTCTGAGGCTCTCAAGAGGGGTATGCATAAAGAGCCTTTAATACATCAGGGCTACAGATATATATTTATGTATATGTATATAAATATTAGTTTTGGTAAAAACAAAGAAATACTTTAAGGATGCTATATTAAGCTGCAGGAATGTTTTTACTATTTTGTGACAAATAGATGAAGCAATTCATTTGACATGGTATTCGTCATCCTGGGGCTTTTCAGACTGACATCTGACGTGAACAATCGATGACAGTTGTTCTGTAATCCTTTTGCTGCTTGTCTCTGCCTTCATGATAACGGGTTTTCCTTGATTCTTCTTAAAGCACATCATCACCTGAGCTGTGAATGAAACCTGAGCTGAGTGTTTTGGCTGGTTTGGTTTAATTTTAAAGTCTTTTGTAATTAAAATATAACTTAAATATAATTTATATTAAGCTTATTGCAACAGTGTAACACTAGATATATTGTAAGGTTAGTTGCAGATCCATATTTTCTTTCATTGAAACAAAAGGTTTGCATGGGCATACATGTCATTTTATAAAAATGTAATATCAAATTGAAGCCTTTGTAATTCGGAACTGTATGAATGAACACAGACTGGCATATTATACAGTAGCTGATATCAATAAATGAAACAATCAAGTTTATCTGCAATATGTAACCAAATCAGGTGTGAACAAAATGTCCTTTAAATGTCTTACTATCTCATACACATGGAGAGAGTTTATACAAGTGAAAAAAGTTGTAGAAGCAGAGCTCACTGAGCAGAACAAACGGAGCCTTTCCTGGGAATAACCCTCCCAATATGAATATTTTAAATCTAAGATTAACATTTTAAATAACCTCCAGAAAAATAAGATGAAATTCCACATCTCCGTAAAAAAAAGTTCACACACACACACACACAGTCCGTTCCCTACCGTAGTAGAAGTCTCCCTGTTGGTACATCATGAGCGTCTGGACCTCAGAGCCGTCGTCTTTGCTGAAGGAGAAGGTTCTGGTGTTCTCTGGCCTGAACTGGTTTTTCCAGGAGCCCCTGAAGTAGATGGCGTTCACCAGGGTCAAGCGGGTCACGCTACTGAAGTCCTCGGCTGAAAGCAGCTCACGGATTTTACCTGGAGTGAGGGATTTGTACGGTGTGTAAGGATATATACAAATGTAATATTCCAAGTAAAGCCTTCTGTGTTGCAGATTTAAAAGTCGTGCACACCGCTGGAAAAAAGTACAATAAATGTGTTTGTCGCTGCTTGTCACTTTACATTATGCAGTGATTACAATGAAGTTATTTATTTAGTAAGCCCTTATTTATATCATTCCCTTTCTTCCCGCTTCCCTCTCTCACTCACTCTCGGTATGATTTTCCACCCAGCTGTTGATCTGCTCGGCAACGGCTGCTGATTCGCTGAAGTCTACAGTTTCCACGTCCGCCCTGAAGTACTTTCTCATCAGGTGCAGAAACTCGGGGTTAAAGGTGACGCCCTCCTGCAGGAAGAGGCTGTTGGCAAACCGGATCACGTAGTTGGTGTCATCATCTGACAGAGCTGCGGTCAGGTTCTGGAGCAAAGAGAACTCCACGCCTGGAGAACAGAGGGAGGGGTGAGTTAACAGAGTACAGACCTGTGGAAAAGATTTGATGCATGGTGGTTTTGAAATAAAATGTCTTTAAGGTCCTTCAATTGGTTTTTACTTTATCAAGGGTACTGCAATAAAGAATTTCTAAGTAAGAATACAAAAGAAAAATATGAAACATGTGGGCATGTTCCCTTTTTAAAAAGAGATATTTAGCACAGCAGGAATATTTAAAAATGGCACTTCTTCTGTCACAGGTCATAGAAGTTTATAAACATTAAATTATGCTCTAGTGATCGCCCATCCTAAGACGTAGGTGACTCACAAGAGAAACATTAAAAACAGGACAGTCAATACTGAAGCAGCAGAGGCCAAGGCATTTAAAGGTTAGATTGGTTTAGCCAGAGAGAAAAAAAACAACATTTAAGCAACTGGAAAGCATCTTTCATTAGACCACCTCAGCAATGCAAAATCTTTTTGTAACTCAAACTCCACAAACCTAGTTTGTAATCCAGGCTTTTTGATAAGGAAAAAAAAAAACTCATGAAGATGACATCAGGGTTTTGTTGTGTAGACTTTTAGAAAACTGCAGAGAACATACCCAAAGATTTCACAGGCTGAGAAGAGCTCCTTGTGACAAGTTCACTAAACTTAAGAATGTATAGAGTACCTCTTGAATTAAATATCAATAGATTTTTTTTTATAACTGCACATTTAAGTCAAACTTTGAACTCCTCTTAAGTTTCTCATAACTGATCCTGGTGATCTTGTGTCTCTGAATGTGTCTCTCACCTGGCAGGAGGTGGCTGAATCCCACCGCCTGTCGGATCTCCTCCAGTGATGTCCCCTTGGCTCCCAGCTCCACCATGCCGAGGGCCACAGCCACACTCAGCGGGGAGAAAATGATGTTGTCCTGATCCCCCACTGCCTGCAGCTGGTGGTACAGTCTGACCGAGAACTCTGATGTAGTGTCCTCCGGAATATCCGCCGCCCGGCAACAGTAGCGTGGAAACAGGATGGAGGGGAGGAGGAGCGGGAGGAGGAGCGGGGACAAAACTTCCAGGGTCAACATCGCAGCGCAGACCACAGATAGCTGAGGGAAAGAGGGATGAATGGAGGAAAAGGAAAGAAAAAGAGATTGAAGGGGGAAGAGAGGATGGGAAAGAGAATGAGGCACAAGGAAGGGAAACAGGATGTAAAATGATAGAAAGATGGATGAATGGATTAAGGGAAAGGAAATGATAGAACATGGGAAGGGGTGGGCGGCAAAAGAAGTGTGGAAGGAACAGATGAGGATGGAGAAAGGGCAAGATGAGGATCAGAAATAGGTTTGGAGAGGGACAGAGGCAGAAGTGGAGAGAGGAGGATTGCAGAGGGGAGAGAGAGGGAGAGATAAAGGTAGAGAAGATTATCGCATGAGGAGAGAGAGAGATGAAGGACAAGGGGATTTTCAGAAAGGGGAGGGAGACAGAGATGAAAGGAGAGGGAGCGGGGATGTAGGATGATGAAAAAGAGAGACAGAAAACATCCGTCGGTCAATCATTCTGCCAATTTAACCGTGAGCACAGAAAAGGAATGTGTTTATGAAGAAAAATAGCTGGAAACCATTTGAACCTGTGAGCAGAGGAGAACCTAGAAACAGAATGACGACTTAATAATTGTTTGAAAAGTTCTTTAAAATGAGAAAGAAGGAACGTAGGGATTCTGAGAATTCAAAAAAGAGATCGAATCGGTGAGAGGGGGGGAGAAAGAAAAGGAACAGAAAAAATTACAGAGAAACAGACAGAGATGGAGAGAGGGTGAGAATGCGAGACAGAGTGAGATAGATGTAATAAACAAAAAAGAATACACTGTAACTATACAGATGTACTGCTGACTGCAGTCTGTACTACTCTGAGCACATCTGCTAAATGAGCTCATGCATATTTTATTGCCATTCTTATCATCTTGAGTTAAATCAGCCTTTTTCCTTCAAATCTGACTTTACTCTCTCTCTCTCTCTCTCTCTCTCTCTCTCTGCATGTGAGCCTTTGTATGTTAACAAGCGACTTCCACTCTGTCTGAACAGAATGACTGACTGAGAAGAGGCCTCCATCCTTCCCCTCATCTCCTCTTCTCCCCCTCATCCCTGCGTCATCTATCATCACCCATCTTGTCTTCTCTATCATTTTTCTACTTTCCATACCTTTTCTGATTCCTTAGCCCTCCCTTTCTACCTCTTAAAAATACAAGGAATATACACACACTGCGCCATCTCTCTGGCGCTGTTGTTGCCAGGCAACATTGTTTTCTGCTACCCAAATAAATTTTAAAAAAAGCGGAGTAATGACATGAATGACATATAGTACAAATATTCAGAGAGATGGAGAGTAGAGAGATAGATGGGAAAAAAAGTTTGAAATATCACATGGACGCTTGTTTTGTTGTTAGTCTCTCTGCTGTGTTGTTGTCATTATACGGTTTGAAAAGAGGATTCTATTAGCAGTCCCATGCAGGGCTGGAATCTGCTGGCTGCTTCTGTATGAGGGGGGACTGCAGGTGACTGTGCTCTCAATGTACCTGATTGTCAACAGCAACAACAATGGGCAGCAGCCAGGAAACGAGTGGACCATCCTGCTGGGTACAGTCCTGTCCTCTGCTGTGCTCTGGCATGTGACAAAGTATTTTCTCTCCAAAATAAAGCAGTCCTGCCTGAGGGACCCATTAATGTCAAATCCATTATAGGATTAGTTTTTCCATGTTTTTTTTTTTTTCTTTACTGTCAACAAATGCCTTAAGGAGACTAAATTAAGCAATGTATTGATTCTATTACAGGTGGGACAAAATATCAATAAGGCAATATATCCTCCTTCCTGACTAGTGTGATACAGAAAAAATAAAAAAAATATAGACTAAATAGATTTCCATGCAATTGATTCACCCCCGCTGCTACTGCATGACATGGTGTTTATGACATCAATGAAAGTAATGTGACCGGCAGTTAAAAGCGGTCAAAAGTAGAAGACCGCAGGATAATGCCAGACAAGAACGGAAATAAAAAGGAGTTAAGAAGGGGGCGTCAGTAGCCTAGCCGTTAGCGCACGTGCCCCATGTGCGGAGACGTAATCCCACAAGCGACAGCCCGGGTTCGGGTCCAACACGAGGCTCCTTTCCCACATGTCATTCCCCACTCTCTCTCTCTCTAGCTGACTTCTAGCCCTATCTACTGTCCTGACTCTAAAAATAAAGGCAAAATACTCAATTTAAAAAAGAAGTGAAGAGAAGAAGCATGAGAGGATTTGAAACTGACACCAAATTGCAGCGAATAAATATTGATCCTGGGCTTATCTTTTTATGGGCTTATTGTTTTCTTAAGTTTATCAGATATCGAGATGTATCTTGATTGTCTAACAATATATCAATCCCGGCAGAGTGGCTGCACTGTTGTATTATCATTATCATGGGCCATGTATGGCATATTGTGTCGTCAGTAATCCTGTTTTGTCCACCACTAGATTGTAATCATCTGTATTTCTGCAGCCACAGATATCTGCTGTTTTCCATAACACCATTAATAACACATGAAGGAATACCACCGTAGACGAAAATTGAAACTATGTGAGTTTTCAAAATCAAATTCATTTTCAAAATGAGCACAGTGGCTCAGAATGATATTCTGTCATTGTTTGTGTTTGTGTCTTTTCATGTAACAGGGTATTCTAAGCATCAGCCTGAGAGCAGCCTGATTAAACGACACACACAGCTGTCCAGCTCTGCACTTTTCACAATTCACTGTAGCAAGCCCAAAAGATTTCAAAGTAGGATTTCTCCTTCTCTTTCGAAACACACACTGCCCCCGTCACTTCCACTTAATGTCCCTCTGAGCAGACGGTCAAGGTCTCCTCTTGTTTTTACTCCCTTGATAACTCTTCTGACAAACTTCTTTTGACAGCTATGGCACTGACCAAACTGTCAGATGGATTCACATCCACTTGAATTACCAAATGGAAAATCATTTGTCTCTATAGAGCTGCCTCACATGATGGAAATAAGTCACACAGCCCCTGACTTTTTTTTTTGGTTCATGTTTAAGTGTTCACAGCATTGTCTCAATACATTATGACCCTGATCCTATTTTAAAGAAAAGGGCAATATATTCTAAAACGATAAGGTCTTTGTCCGTGGTGGAAAGGGTCGGAGTGTCACGCTGAACGATTTTCGATCGTGTTTAAGTTCAAATTTGTCGATATCAAGTTGGCATGGTTTCACAAAAATTATGGAAACTCTCAAGTGAAATAAAGTGGAGAATGAAGTCAACGGATCCAAGAGTAATTAGTTATTTGTGGACAGAATCAAGCAACATGTGGCATTTTTAAACACTCTTTACAAAAATGACCACTTCAATAATGATTGAAAAGAAAAATGATTTGTTCTCCCCAAAAGTACAATAGTTCAGCCTGAGAGCTCTTTGTTTTGAGTCAGTACTAAATGTGCCATTGTGCTGCTCTTCTTACTTGAGCAATTTTGGATATATACTAAATCTATATCTTCAAATCTTTGAGTTTGAGTAATGCATGCAGATAGAGGCACCCAGCTAGTTGAATGAATTACTTATAGAAAGAAAATGACTGACTACTGTTTTTTTTTTTTACTTTTCTTAAAATTTAGCAAATGTATTCATTCAAGTTATTATATTAGGATAGCACAAATTAATCAACACATCAGCAATACACATCTGTGGAAATATGCTGGAAATTAGCACAAAAGCTACATTTCCACAGTAGTCCTAAAGCAGGTACTTACAAAAGACATCAAACATATTTACAATAACAAGACACCTCACAGGACAGTCCACAAGGCAGCACGGGAAATGAACTCAAAATGCAAAATTGTGTTGTAATAAAAGGGCTGGCTGCCAAGAGTTAATACTGCATGCAATGAACCTCAAGATAGACACGTGCAGTATTGGTTTTGGTGACTGACTACTGAATGCAGAATGTAAAAAATGTAGTATCTTATTGTTGACTGCATCCATACACTGTGTCCAAAAAAGTGTTAGCCAAATCAGAGGAGGACACATTGAATTATGTAATGATGTTATATTTAATGATTTGTATGTGTAGGAGCCATTTTGTGTTTATCGTTGGCATGTTTTATAATTAGATTGATCTGAATATATTATTTTCCAATAGGGACACTGAATGCACAGGGGCGTGTATATATAGTAGCACAGGTGACAGGAAAGGGGGAGCACAGACAGTTCTCACCAGACCGGCATTCATGTTTCAGACCAGCACTCAGACAAACTACAATTCATTCATTCTACTGGCTACGCTTCACTGGAAATGGTATGTTTTTTGTTCTCATATCTCCATCAAGTCACTTCAATAAACCTTCAACTCAACTTTAATAACGGCTGGAAAATCATTGTTTGCATCTGCGTAAGACTTCACCCCTACCTGTGTATCAATGGCAATAATTGGAGCAAAGGAAAAAAATGGAAAATTGCCATTACAGAATGCTTTGGCTCATTTAATAGCAGGATGCTTCATCAATTAATTGTAAATGGTAAATGGACTTGAGCTCGTATAGCGCTTCTGACTACTCAAAGGGCTTTTTACACTGCAGGTCACGTCTACCGATTCACTCCCACTCACAAACTGATGGCAGAGGCTGCTAAGTGAAGTGTCCATCAGTATACAGCAAGTGGCAACCTCTGGTGTTAAAAAATGAAGCACTGGAAGTCACGTACACGCCCCATCAAAAAAGCCGGTTTTTACAGCAGAAATGAACATGTTTACAGCCTTAGTTTAAATAAACCAAATTGATCTGATTAGCTCAAGTCTCGATTGCCCCAAACTGTAAGCCGGGTGAATTTTTAAATCACTCATCCATTTTGATTTTATGAAGGCTAGTCAAAATAAGGCATGTAGCTGACCTGACTGACAGGTGGGTGTGATGTAAAGGTTCATCAAGAGACTTAAAACCTGCCTCAGCTCCAGCTGAGGCAGGTTTTAAGCTGGGAGCCATTTGAGGTTAAGCGTCTTGCCCAAGGACACATCGGACATGTGGCTGCAGGAGCTGGGGATTGAACCCCTTAACCTTGAGAGATGACCGACTCTACCACCGATCCACAGCCGACCCCAGTTCCTGGATAGTCTTTGTGTCTCAGTTGGCAGCGGTGAAAGAATTCTCAAAATGTATTCTCTAAATTCAACTAAAACAGAACATTTAGAAATAAATCAGCTCTTTAAAAAAAAATCAGATTCTAAAAGTCTTTTCAAACCTTTAAACAGAAACAGACACAGAAGTGGTGCTTTGGTTCA